ACCAGTTCAACGAGTTCAACAGTCGACCGAACACTCGGTTGGTACTAGACGCGACTAATGAAGCAGGACCTGACTTCGATGAGGAACCGTTGCCTGAGGACAGCTGAGAACCAGATGAAGTTGCCGGTGAATATGAAGTCGAGGCCATCCTCGACGACAGAACACCACTGACGACGAGCACGGAGCGTGCTGTACGCGAGTCAAAGTCAAGTGGGTGGGCTATGAAGATCCAACTTGGGAACCAGCATCCAACTTGTCATGTGGAGGTCTGCTGTACGACTATTTGCGAGCCAAGAAGAGCGAGAATCGGCTGCAGATGGCGCAAGTGGCGGACGAAGACTAGCGTGGCTGGATCACGTGTGAACTGTCCACAGGGCGATGCAGCCTGTGGTAACAAACGAAAAACGTTACTGCAACAACAAATTGTATATGCATTTGAAGAACAACATAAACATGATTACGCTGTGGAGTTGGATTAAGAATAAGAAAACATGAATGCCGGCCGAGGAGCGACCACTGAAAACGAAACCTCGCGGGATCCCTCAACAGTTAGCTGCGATACTGGCGAACGTCGTGGAACATGCAGCGAGGATTCAAAGCGATTCCAATTGCCTAGCGGCGGTAGCCAAGAGTGCCAACGAAGTTGAGTTCCCACTCTCCTTCTCCTCTTCATCGGGTACCTGAACCTCGGCAGCTGGAGCCGCAGCCGGAGCCTGCAAAACCTTGGCACTAGCTTCAACAGGAGCAGGAGCCAGAGCGGGACGTGGAGTAACCGGTGGCGAGTCAAACAACGAACGCCAGGTCGAAATAACTTCAGTAGAATCCAGAGACGGGTCAACGAGCACGCTTCGGTACACATCCACGAAACGCGTACCACGAGGATTGAAGAGCTCCAGATTACACTGGCACGGGATGTACGTGGTGTTGTAAGGGTGCTGATGCGGCGCATTCATCCATCCAGTACGCCAGGGTTGACGAGCATCGAGAGCCGGAACTTCGGAAAGCAAGTCGGGAGTCCGAGGTGCAAACGGCAAGTTCTCGATCGGGTACCATGGCTTCGACGTCTCCAAAAGCAACTCACGACGAATGAGCGGTGCGCCGGAGGTACCAGAGGAAACCGAGTCACGACTCCACGCCATGTACTGCTCACGGTACTTGTTACGGAGACGATCGGCACGACGGTCGCGCTCACTGAAGTTCTTCTTCAACAGAGCTCTCAGTTCCTTCAAGAGCTCCGTGTCGTGACCGCCCTTCTTGGCTTCTTCGACAAGACCTCGCCCAATGCCAGCCAGCGGAAGCCAGTGGAGACGCTCCCATAACGCGAGCCCGAGGTCACCCTGCTTGCCGCCGTCACCCCGAAGGTTTGCCCAGATCATCTTGAGACGAGTCTCAATTGGAGCACGTTTGAAGATGGGGGCGCTTGGATCGAGGTCGACGGTGTCGAAGGGACACGCCTGAAGAGGATAGAGCTGTCGGAGTTGCTGGTACGGGTGATCAGGATTCGAGTAGTCGAAGTACACTTGGAGACCCTCCAACGTCGTACGGACGGTTACCTCACCAGCTGGTTCGGGAAGGGTCATGCTCAAGAGTCGTTCGAAACACTTCTTGGCACCTGCGTCGGCAAACTCCATGTCCAAGTACGGAAGAACCCACGGTGGCAAGGTGGACGAATCCGGCACCGTAGGGCGAGCACCAGGCAACACACGGTGAGGCAATGGTTCTACCGACGGTGCACCACCACGACGCGGCACCGAAGTGTATGTGGCCGTGATCTGGCGCCCAGGTCCAGCATCGAGAGTCCGAGAGAACAGACGAGGAGACGCCGGAGCAGGAGGTGAAGATGGTGGTGCTTGTTGGCTTGACGATGACGGAGGAGGCGGACCACCGACTATGATCGGACCAGCGGCCATCGACGAAGGATTTGGCCGAGAAGGAGTCGGAGGCCGAGCAGGGCCAAGACCGCTCAAGTTGCCGTCGGAATCTTCGACAGCTTCGGCATCGACTGTACCTGAATGTTCGGTAGGTGGCGGAACATCACCGCCACCACTTGTACCATCAGGAGAACCATCCACCGAGCGTTCTTCGCCATCCACGTTATCTCCACGATCGTCATCAACATTTCCATCGTCATCAATCTCCATCGAAAAGTCGGGCGAAGAAACACTTGGCACGGCCGCTGTTGGAACAGTCGGAGCCGGCTTTGAAGACACGGAGGCTTGTGGAGCAGCTTCAACAGGGGCAAGCCCTTCATTAGAAACTACTCCCGAGACTTCAACCATCTTGGAAGTCGCAGCAGACGACGAAGCAGCCTTGCCTGGTGGGGCAGTGCTGTCCGATTCTTCACCATCATCACCTGCGCCAAACATCAGTCGAAATTGCTCGGCCTCACGCAAGGCCTCTGCAGCGGCACGTATGGCTGCTGGAGAAGGAGAGATCGTCGACGCTGGCGGCTTGGCCACATCATGAGGACCCTGAGGCGGGGACGAAGGCGCGTCAGGAAGACCGAAAACATCGTCGTGATCCCCAGGGTCCACGTCTTTACCCGAAGACTCGGTGGCAGTTGCATGAGCCGACGGGGCAACACTTGGATCAACATCCACCATGTCGACGTCGCTCTGGTCACCGCTGAGGTCGTCCACGGCGGGAGTTGAGGAAGGCGCTGGCGATCATGAGCTAGGGGAAGATGGTACAGACTTGGACCGAGTCTTCATCTGACGTCGGGGCGACTTGGCGGGAGAGCGAAGACGAGTCTTCTGGCGCTTCTTCTGGGCGGCTTGCTTCCATGTCTTCGGACTGAGCAGCGACCTACGTGCCGACGTGGGAGTTAAAGTGTCGGCCGGTGGCGCATCACCGAGACCAGCAGCTGCCATCGAAGTACTGGCCTTGTCCGTCGGGATGGGAGCCTTGTCTTCGTCAGAATCGTCCAGCTCGTCGTCTGACTCCTTTCCACCTGGTCGAAGGCGCTTGGGGGGCTTCCCATGGGCCACTTGATGAGCCGCCTTTGCCAAAGCTGCAGGAAGCGCTTGTGGATCGTCCGAAGACGCGGCAGCAGACTGTATGCGCTACAAAGCAACCAACGTCTCTTGGTCCAAGTCCAGAACGTCCAGGTCCAGCTCACCCGCAGTCAGGCATGTCACTAAAGATTGTGAATGAGCGCTAGTTGCTGAACTCACGGTGGAAAGAACAACATGAGGAACGCACCATCAGCAGTCAGCCGCAGTACCTCCGGATCCATCCTAGCCAGTCACGTGTGCACGGAGAGTGCGATTCACTTAGAGGAGGCGAGTGTTACGATCTTGCTGGTTCTCGAGGGCCTTGAGCGTGTCGTTGTCGACATACTTGCCGACAACGACACGCTCAAGGTCCTCGACAGAAGCAGATACAAACGCAGTGATTGGTCTAAATAAATAACTCACTTTCCATTTTGCAGAACCAAGAAGCTAAGGACCTAGCCAACGTCGACGCATGTCCCGCCACGGCCGCCCTGCCACCACAAGCGCGGCCCGACGCTTCCGGTAAGGCACACGACGGTAGCTTCTGCTGCGGAGATTGCAGTGAGGTCTTGGAGGTTGCCACGCGTAGACAGATTATATTTTCCATGTTCTGACGACGTCGATTACTTTTGTAGTAACAGGCGTTTATCAGGTCAAGATGCGCTTAGTACCTGCTACGGTCAATGCAAGAGTGCAGGTATGTGTCTATTTAGTGAATATTGCTGACATTTTCAATGCTGACGCTTGTTCCTTTGTTATGAAAATGTAGTGTATGGAAACGATGAAAGTGTTGGCTACGTAGTCGAGACGAGCGTAGTCATGATGAACTTATCCCAATTGAGTTGTAAACTCACTCGTACACGAAGGTATTCCAGCAACTTCGCTATATATTTGTCTCAATAACTTATCACTGACCTCTCTGTACAATTCTGCGCACTAGAATTTACTCTTCTTGATGATCAACAAATACTGAGCGCAAACTATGAGCTTCCTACTCCCGAGATGGGCTCATGATGAAGCTGGTGGTCTGTTCTCGAAGGTCACTCGGGTCGCGTAATTAAGGTCAGTATTATAATATGAAAAAATGTTTGATGATCTGAGCTCGTTCATCATCAACTTCTCTTATCAACAGAATCTCTACCTAGTGTTTCAACAGTGAGATAATATTATTATTATGCATTAAGGATTATCTGCTATCTTCAGCTTAGTTTCTGCTCTCTTTCTCGTACTCAGCCCGTTTTCCGCAGGCAGTAGAAGGACATTCACCAACGACGTACATGCCTGGTACAGTTCCGACACTCACTTCTTCTACTTCTGCTAGCGGTGTCGTGCATCTTCGAACGTTGTGGTCAGTCTGGTTGCAACGGCTGCATGTTCTCGTTTGAGCGCGCTAGCTCCCTTCACCTGCGCGCTGAAAACCTCTGCAATTGCCTTACTCTCGCCATGGCAGTCAGCATCCGAAGGAAGCTCTTCATTTGAATGTGTACGCCTAGTCGGAATAAAAGAACCTGCACATTCACCACAGTTCTGTGTTCTTTTCAGTCCTGTTGGGAAGTCTGTGGTCTCTTTCGATCGCTTGAATGAACGCCCAGCTTGGCGATACAGGGGTGGAGGTTTGATTTGGTCTGTCTGTTCGAGATCATCATAAAGAGGAAGCCGGATCGTAATTTTCTAACGCCTCCCAAAATTTCAAAACTGTGTACGCATGGTGCAAGTACCGTTTGATGTCATAGGTTGGAAGCTCACTATTCTTCTGCTTGGATCTCCAATAAACTACTGCCTGCATATGACGACAAGGAATTTGCAGCTGCTCTGAAACAGAACAACGCGTGCATGTTCCGCAGGCCATGTTGACTTCATAGAGATGAGCGTCTCTACCAACACTGCGGCTATCGAAAGCGTCGAAGACGTAGAAAATTGATTGTTCTCCCTGCGCAACGGTCTGGTGAGCAACCAGGACCATTACCTTATTGAACTCCTTCTAAGGGTGAGGAGTGACGTCACAATTTACAGCCTTCCAGCTATTGACAAGCTCTTTACGCTTCAAAATAACTTTGAGAGCTTGTGTACAGTAAGCCATCAGCGATCCTAGAACAAGTTGATTTCGCACTCGACCCCACAAGAGACCGTTGTTCTCTTCTTCAATCGCGCTAGTTGTGCGAATACCAAACAACGGCAGCCTGTCACCATGTTTGGGGACAGCAGACCACTTCTCCGTAAGCCATTTGGTTTCTTCAGGTGTTGCTTTATATTTCCGACGACGCACCAATCTGTGGGATGTATACCACAAAGGTAACTCCATAGATGTTCCTTAACGACTTCATCTGCAACAATTTTTGAAATTCCATTAAGGTACTTTACCGCAATCCTTGTTTTGATGTGATCATATACTTCCGACGTCGAAGCACCTTGAAGCGCTAAAATGTCGTTCTTTACGGACTGTAAGTTTAACTTCAGAGACTTGAACTTGTCCATCACGTTGAATCTAATGTGCACCGTACAGAATTTCAGATGTACTTTTATACCGAGGCATAGCAATAGCGCTTGAGCTGATACTTGTTTATCTCTGTCACAAAAGGTCAGATGTGCATATTCATGCCAGCAACAACGCAGTTGCAAAAAAAAACATGCAAAATTGTCGACGGTCTCCTTGTGAATGTAGGCTACTGCAATCGGGATATTTGGCTTGTTACCGTCTTTACCAATGATAGTCAAGCAAATACCATTGTATAACGGGTCTTTCATATGGGCGCCGTCGCACTCAAAAACAGGTAGCAATGCGTCCTGAACGTTCACAATACTGGCGGTAGCGAGGAAAACCCGATAAAATCTGCCTTCTGAGTCCAGTTGACAACATAGGGTTTTTACTGGCGAAGTCGTTCAAAAAAGAAGGAAGTCGACCATACTCAGCTACAGGATCAATTCTAACGTTGTTTTTAGGCTGTGAAATAGTACGATAGGCCATCGCGGGCTGCTTCGAAATGCTAATACCGTGAATTTCACTAATGTTGTTCACCACCCGTGCCAGTGATGTATTGTGTCCATCTAGAATTGCTCCACGAAAACCCGGCTGCTCTAATAAAAAATTCGGTTGTCATTATCGCCACACCTTGATCGTGGGTTTTCTTCATTTCTGAGATATACCACGATCCAATTGGAACATGGGAAAGTTTTGTTGTAGGCGGCTTTCGCTGTTTCTTGCTCGCTGTTTCTGTAATTTTTGATGGTCGTTTGCGCGACAAAGCAATGAACCATGGATAACCAGTTTTATGCTCGGAACACAACCACTTAATATGCGTTCCGCCACCGCCCTTCTTCCGTTCAACACTTTTATTACTGCTAAACGCGTAGTACTTGACAAAAAAGCCCGCCGTCTCCAAGTCCGCAAAGTGTAAGAATTTTTCAGGCTCAGCATAGCCGAATCGAACCTTCAGATCGAGCTGGTGGGCTTCCTGCTGCAAGGAGCTCATCGCGAGATCGTTTTATTGAGGGTTGCTGGTCTTGGTACTGTGTACCAGTTGTACCCATTAACCGGTCAACCTGAACCGGTCCAATACGATCCCGCTGTGATTATGGTACGTTGTTTATGCCACCAATGATTGGACGAGTAGAATGATTGGATGACCTAGGTAGTGAGGACAGTGTAAGCCCCGATAAATCAATCACTTTCGAATCTTCCTTCTTCCGCTCAAGTGCCTTCACTCCGGTCTCCGCACCAAGTGCAGAAGTCACTCCGTTCAGTCCCAAGCTTCGTTCCAGCACCTCTACACCGTTAACAGGTTATGAGCTCAAGCACCATGTCCTCTGCCCATGACGCCTCGACCAAGGTCACCATCGACAAGTTCAACGGTGACAACTACGCGACGTGGAACCGCTACATGCGTGGCGTGTTTCTAACCAAGTCGGTATGGCACGTAGTGAACCGGGAAACGACGCCGAGCTTCACGGACATCCGGACCAAGGACGACTACGTCAAGGCGAGCAACATTGCGTTCGGACTGATGTTGCTCCACATGAACGCGGACTACCATCACGTGGTTGATGACTGCGAGGAAGCGTGGGGCGCGTGGACGCGCTTGAAGACGCTGTATGGTGGGTCGCAGAAGGCTGGTCGCATCTACCTGAAGCGCCAACTCTTCAGCATGGAGATGTCGGAAGGCGGCAATGTCTTGCATCATGGCAACGAGGTCCTCAACATCAGCGCCAAGCTCAGCAGCACCGGCGCCAAGATGGAGGACGAGGACGTGGCGATCTGCTTACTGCGAAGTCTCTCCAAGAGCTACGAGAACGTCGTGCTCAATCTGGAGATGAGCAACGCAGAGCTGCGGTCGCAAGACGTTGTGAAAGTGCTCACAAACGAGCACATCAAGCGACAAGGTGAAAAGACGGCGACGGTGAAAACTGAAAACGCGGCCAAGGCGTTCAACACCGACCGAGAGTCTCGCCAATGCACGTACTGGGGGAAATTGGGGCACATGATTGACAAGTGCTGGACCAAGCAGAAGGATGAGGGTCGAGGTGCTCGACGCGGCGGCAACGGCCGTGGACGCGGAGCTAACAACATCCAGTGGCGAAATGACGACGACTACGACTACGATCGAGTAGCGTTCGCGGTTTCCCTGGAATGTGGAGTATCGACGAACAAGAATGTGTCTGGAATGTGGGCGGTCGACAGTGGTGCCACACACCACATCTGTAACGACAAGTCCAAGTTCGCCAATCTCATCGAGCGCAATGAAGGCGAACTTTCGGTGGCCGACGGGAACAAGGCGGCTATCAAGGGTGTGGGGACCATCGTGGAAAGAGTGGTCCTGCCCAACGGCACCGAGCGCGAGATCGAGATCAAGAACGCGCTCTATGTGCCTAACATGAGCAAGAATCTGCTTTCAGTACCGCAGATCAACAAGAACGGAAAGTTCCAAGTGGTGTTCGATGGCACTGAGATGCACATCTCACGCAAGGACTCGAATCAAGTGGTGGCATCGGCGGATCTCGTAGATGGACTCTACTGGCTTCGCACGCCTCTTCGATCAGCAAATGCGGCGACAACTGGAAGGACGGTCGACCTGCATGCGCGTATGGGTCACGCTCCAGTCGAGGTGCTTCGCAAGATGGTCGACAACAAGATGATCAAGGACGCCAAAGCACCTTCCAAGCCTAGCGGACCAAGTCTGTGTCGCGGCTGCCAGCAAGGCAAGATGGTCCAAAAACCATTCCCTACCAACCGTGACAAGCGTCGCTACGACACTTTCGAGTTGCTTCACTTCGACATTTGCGGACCCATGGAGAAGTCCTCGCTTGGTGGCAGCAAATATTTGTTACTGATCGTGGACGAAGCCAGCGGATGCATGAAGGGCTTCTGCCTGCGTGCCAAATCAGAAAGCGAAGACTGCATCAAGACGTACATCACGAAGGTGCAGAAGCAGTTTGGCAAGAAGGTCAAGTTCGTGCGACACGACGGAGCTCGGGAGTTTGCGACTAACTCGCTTAAAGATTTCTACGAAGACGAGGGCATCGAGCAACAAACCACGGTTCCGTACGCGCATTAGACTAACGGCACGGCAGAGCGGGCCATCCGCACCATCGTCACGATCGGCCGCAGCATGCTGCACCATGCTAAGCTGGACAAGTGTTTCTGGGGTGAAGCGGCGATGACGGCCATCTACGTGAAGAACCGCCTGCCGTCACCAAAGATCGAGTGCAAGACTCCGTTCGAGATTGTGTACAAGTCCGCGCCGAGTGTGAAACACATGCGCGTCTTCGGCTGTCGAGCTTTCATCTTAACTCCGAAGGAGAAACGGCTCAAGTGGGATCCAAAGGCTCGCGCCGGATTGTTCCTGGGCTACGAAGAAGTATCCAAGGCGTATCGACTTTATGACATCGAGGCGGGGCAGGTGGTTATCAGTCGCGATGTCAACTTCGATGAATCGACCTTTGGACTTTCAGAGCCAATTTCCGATGAAGACGTCGACGACCTGGACTTCGAATCTCTCGACATCGACAATGACGGTTCGCGTCAGACGGAGCATAGGCAGGCGGGAAAGCGCAAGAGCCGCCCGAGTGACGAAGATGAATCTACCACAAGACCGCGAACTACGCGTCGTCGACCCGGACTGGAAGAAGCAAGTGCGCCGACCAATTCGTCTTCACGTCGAGCAAACGTAAACGAAGAAGAAAAGGCTGGAGATCAAGATGAAGAATCGACTTCCCCCGTGTTTTGGCGTGCAAGCGCCAACGCAGTCGAAGCTGCGGTGGACTTATCGGAGCCAGCGACTTTCCAAGAGGCGGTGAACGGCCCCGACCAAGTGCACTGGCGCAAAGCAATTCGAGCTGAGCTCAAGTCGATGCGACTTCGAGGAGTGTTCCGTGCTGCTAAGTTGCCGAACGGACAACGCGCTATTGGTACCAAGTGGGTGTTCAAGATCAAGCGCAAAGCGGACGGATCGATCGAGAAGTACAAGGCACGCCTCGTGGCCAAGGGCTTCAAGCAAAAGTACGGCATCGACTACACTGAGACGTTCTCGCCGGTTGTCAAGTTTGTGACATTGCGCATGGTGATCGCTTTGGCCAAGTACTTTGGCTGGCCGCTAGACCAACTAGACGTGGTGACGGCATTCCTGTACGGCGTGATGAGGGAGATCGTATTTTGCGTGGTTCCCGAAGGTGTCGAGCTCGACGGTGACTTCGACTGCCTGGAATTGGTGAAGGCCATTTACGGTCTAAAACAAGCTTCGCGCGTGTGGAACGAGACTTTCGACGAGTTCGTATGCTCTATCGGCTTTCAAGTTTCGGCCTTTGACCCGTGCCTCTACATCAAAGTTGTTGATGGCCACTGTGTACTCACACTGGTCTACGTCGACGATGTCCTGGTCACCGGAAGCTCACCCGAGCTGATCTCACGCACGAAGGACGACCTCAAGACACGCTTCGAAATGACTGACAGCGGCAAGTGTGTGTTCGTCCTTGGGATCGAATTGGTAGACGGTCCGGACGACAGCGTGACGATGAGCCAACGGCGTTATGTGGATGACATCCTGAAGCGCTTTGGTATGGACGAGTGCAAGGCTGTGGTAAGTCCGGTGGATATAAGCACTCGACTGGTTCCAAGCGACGCGGCGATCAAGGTACAAGCTCCGTTTCGCGAAGCTGTTGGTGCACTAATGCACCTGATGACCGCGACGCGTCCAGATATTGCGTACGCGGTGGGCTATGTGTCGTGCTTCATGGAGAATCCCCAAGAAGAACACTGGGTTGCGGTCAAGCGCATCTTTCGCTACCTGCAAGGCACCAAGACGCATGGAATCTGCTACAAACCGGGTAACAACATCGACTTTCGCGGATACTCTGACGCAGACTGGGCTGGTGACCTCGCGGACCGCAAGTCGACTTCCAACTACACGTTCATGCTGATGGGTGCGCCAGTGAGCTGGGGCAGCAAGAAGCAGTCAAGTGTTTCGCTGTCTACGAGCGAAGCGGGGTACATCGCGCTAAGTCTGGCTATTCAAGAAGGCAAATGGATTCATCGCCTACTGTGCGAGATATTAGCAGCTGCCAATGAGACTGGACCCGACCTCAAGATCCAAGAAGACAACCAGTCGTGCATCAAGATGACAAAGAATCCTGTGAACCACGGCCGCGCCAAGCACATCGACATCAAGTACCATCACATCCGCGATGAAGTGAAGCGTGGTGAAGTCAAGCTCGAGTATTGCGAGACTTCTGTGATGCTGGCTGACATCATGACG